CTTTTTCTTTGAATTATTACAGTACTTTGGAAATGAAATGATATAGCTAGAAACTTTTCTCCTAAAGTAAAGTTTAATGTTGAATGTTAATGGATGGCTTAAAAATATCAGGACTCAGAACCACATCAGTATGATTATTATTATAACTATATAAAAACATATTCATATTGAGGAAATTCTGCAAAGGGAAGGAACAGAAATGGCTAGTGTGGCTCTTTTAAGTCAGTGGTTTCCTAATCCTGGCTGTTGTATCAGAATCATTGGGGTAGCTTTAAAAAGAAAGATACCCAGATTCTCTTTCTTTTGATCAGTGTTTTTTAGATCAGTAAATTGGTGGGCCGCCCAATTTTTTTTAATAGACTTTATTTTTAGAGCAGTTTTTGATTCACGGCAAAATTGAGCAGAAGGTACAGAGATTTCCTATATGCCCCCTGACACATGTACAGCCTCCCCTACTATAAGCATCCCATACCAGAGTGGCACATTTGTTAAAATAATGAACCTACACTGACATACCATTATCACCCAAAGTCCATAGTTTACATTAGAGGGTCATTCTTTCTTTCTTTTTTTTTTTTTTTTTTTTTTTGCGTGGTACGCGGGCCTCTCATTGTTGTGGCCTCTCCCATTGCGGAGCGCAGGCTCAGTGGCCATGGCTCACGGGCCCAGCCGCTCCGCGGGATGTGGGATCTTCCCGGACCAGGGCACGAACCCGTGTCCCCTGCATCGGCAGGTGGACTCTCAACCACTGCGCCACCAGGGAAGCCCTAGAGGGTCATTCTTGGTGGTGTTTATTCTATGCATTTTGACAAATGTGTAATGAAATACTATTATAGTACCATACAGAATATTTTCACTGCCGTAAAAATCCTGTGCTCTGCCTGTTCATTTCTGTTCCACCCTAATCCCTAGCAACCACTGATCTTTTTTACAGTTTCTTTAGTTTTTCCTTTTCAAGAATGTCATATGGTTGGAATCGAATGGTACGTAGCCTTTTCAGATTGTCGTCTTTCACTTCGTAATATGTACTTAAGGTTCCTGTGTGTCTTTTCATGGCTTGATAGCTTATTTCTTTCTAGTGCTGAATGATACTCCATTGTCTGGATGTACCACAGTTTATTTATTCAGCTACTGAGGGACATCTTGGTTGCTTCTAAGTTTTGGCAGTTATGAATAAAGCTGCTGTAAACATCAGTGTGGGGGGTTTTATGTGGACATAAATTGTCAACTCCTTTGGTATTTATTCCAGGGTGCATAATTTTCTGTATCATATAGTAAGAGTATGTCTGGTTTTGTAAGAAGCTGCCAAACTCTCTTCCAAAGTGACTGTTTCCATTTTGCATTCCTACCAACACTGATTGAGAGTGCCTCTCGCTCTGCATCCTCACCAGATTTGGTGATGTCGTTTTGGGTTTTGGCCATTCTAATAGAAGTGTAGTGGTATCCCATTGTTATTTTAATTTGCAGTTCCTTACCGGTCAGATGTTGAACATCTTTTTATATGCTTATTTGCCATCTGGATATCATTTTGGTGAGGTGTCCAGGTCTTTTGCCAGTTTTTAAAATTGGGTTGTTTGTTTTCTTATTGTCCAGTTTTATGAATTCTTTGTGTATTTTGGATAACAATCCTTTTTCAGATGTGTGTGTCTTTTGTTAATATTTTCTCCCATTCTGTGTCTTCTCATTCTCTTGATTGAAATCTATGAGTCTCCATGGGATTCTGTTTCTTTGCCAAGTTTGTGATCTACTGTTTTAAATTACTGTGTCTCGCTTTATCCTTTGCAAGGCTAGATGTCTTGCATAGCCATCAGTTTTCAGCTACTCGTTTACCCTCTTTGTCACAGCTGGTCCATCCTGCTCTCAACTTCCACGGTTCTTCATCGTTTCACTCTTCAAATTCCAGCTCTTTATCTGGGTAATCTTCATGTAGATTTTCTCAAGTAATGATGCTGGTCGTACTTGATCTGCAGGTCCATTTGGTTCTGGTACCACCTCTACATCAGGGTTGCCTTTGCTGGTGCAAAGATTAATCATGTTACAACACACAGTTCCCACTTTCTATTTCAAGTTTTCTGTATTGTTATGTTAATAATTTGTAAAATAAAGGTTAAATCTTTTTTTCACTTTATGTGTACTTTGCTTTATATGCCAACTTAATCGTCTTTTGAAAAGCCTGTTTTGATCTTCATAAAGATTGAATTTTCACCTCATTCCTACCATTTTGTTGTATATGTTTGAACAAATATGCATTCACTTTTCATGTATCAGAGTATGAAGATATTTTTCTGGGGCAGTTTTAGAGGAATAGTTTTTTGCTCATAAAGTGATCTGAATAATTAAGAGATCGTTGCAGCAAGTGTGCCTAAGGGTATTTATCTTTCATCTTTTAGTCCTGTCCGTGTGTGTAATCTTTCAAAAATAAATATAACAAAATTAACAGTTTATAGCAGCTTATTTTCTGCTAAGTAAAATTCCCTGTTACTGATTTGTCAGCATAATTTTTTGAAGTATAATGCAAATAAAGCAGTTTTATCATTTATGACACATTGTGCTAGTTGATCGCATTTTAATTTTGTTGAAAGGCAGGTGTCTTATACTTGTTGCTATGTTTTAGTGTATAAATCATTGATTTTAGAAAATATGCCTTATTTTATAACTTTTAAAATTTAATTGCTAAATTTTTCATTTATCCAACAAATATACCAAGCATATTCTTGCATTCCAGAATCAGGGTGACTTTAATACAATTAACATATAACTTGATTTTATAACAAAGAGGGTATATAGAAGTTCACTTAAGTCCTTACAAATAATTAATTCCTAGATATTATGGTGTTTGGAATATATAATTTAATTTTTGTTATGTAGTACAGTTTCTCTAGTATTGTCATGATTTTGATTTAATTGCTACTCAAAGTTTAGTGGTTCAGTGAAAGAATATGAAGGTTGAAGAATTTTGTAAATAGGTACATTTTCAACTTGCTGTGTTTTTGTTTTTAGCGTTAGCTACCTTTGGAACTTGCATATGATGAGTGGTAGACTTAATGAGTTGAAATAATTGGTATATTACCACTTTGCATGAAAGTGTTTGTTTAACACAGTACTGTCAACTAACTGACATGGATGTTTATCACTTTTGATGTAGTCAGCATATTTATGGAGTAATCTCTGGGTGATATATTTGAAGTCAAGGAGCTGAGTCTGTGAACAAAAGATTATGTAATAAAATTCTGAATTATGTGGTATAGGCTAGTGGTTTTCATACCGTATGCTTAGTAGAATAGATTTATTGTCCCATCACTAAAATCTCTCACTGACTTCTTTTCCTCTATAAATAAGAAAATATATAGTTTTCACAACTTCAGCTTACTCTCCCGTGGGTTGAGAGTAATGTGTTTTGTGTATTTTTTTTTTTAATCTTTGGCACTTCGAACCACTTTATTCTAGTTCTAATACACAGTGACATTTTATTTACATGTATTTATAATTTGGGTTTACAGGTGTCTATATATCTCAACACACATATTAAATAATTTGTTTCTCAGAGAACATCATGACTTCAGATTCTCCCCAACCTGAAAAAGTTGAACCACTACTGCAGATTTTCTATGGTAAAGAATGTTTAGAGATAGAAGATGTCTCTTTAAGCTGGAGTTATTGAGAGTTGAGCTAGACCATGGAGGATTGGTTGGATTTGAATAACTGCATAGGTTGGCAGTATAGTCCCAAAGTGTTGTAGGAACTTGGAGGACAGACACACTACTTTTTCATGACAAAGCTAGAACCAGAGTCTAGAGTCTATTTCCTAGTCAAATAATCTTTCATTTGGACTGATAGCATAGCAGGAAGAAGTAGTGGTCAGTAACCTCATATTGGAGAAGGTGTCAGTATGCTTGTGGACTGTGAAATTCCTGAATTCTTATCAGGATTGCATTAGGAAGGCATTTCAGACTGAAAGGAACTTTATGTGCAAAGGCAGATATCCTGAAAGAGCTTACCTTGTTGGCCGTGGATCATGGTATTGGAGGGTGGGGATGAAATAAAGGGTCTTTTATATGCCAGGCACTGTTCTAGATGTGGAAGGTACGCATGGAAAAGACAGACTCCCTGCTACCGTGGAGCTTACATTTTAGTAGGAGAAATAATAAACAAATATGTAATATACTAGTAATTAGTGATGAGTACTTGAGGAAAAATAAAGTGTAGGGTAAAGGAATAGAGATAGACGTTATTGAAATAGGATGTCAGGGAAGACCTTTTTGTGGAGGTGAAACTTGTGCAGAAAAAAAGGCAGAGAGTGAGGTATGTGAACCAGCACAGAGGAGATGGCAGAGCACATTTGCTGTATGCAGCTCCATGGTAGCTGTCGTGCGTTAAGTTAATGGTTTATGCTCACTGAGTGTTTACTGAGTGCCAGACACTGTTCTACCTGTATTACTAGTGGTAATTCAGTCCTTAAAACCATCCTATAAAATGGATACTATTTCAGATTTGAGGAAACTGAAGCACAGGGATTAAATACTTTACCCAAGGTTGCACAGCTAGTCGGCGAGCTGGGATTCAAGCCCAGGTAGTTTGACTGCAAAATCAGTGTTTTCGACCATTCTTCAAAGATGGGGGAGGGGAAGCGTAGTAGGAAATTTAATTGGAGCAATAGCCTGGGGCCAGTTCTGTGGGGCCTTTGTGGTTCCTTTATAAAGTATTTAGGATTTTATGCTGACAGTGAGGTTAAGTCATTGGCGGGTTGAGAAATGCCCAAGAGGTTGCTTTATGATTCTGGAGGTCAAGAGAAGGGTCTGGACTATACAAAACACATTTGTTAGTTATCTGTATATAGGTTGTATTATAGCTTAAAATATTTCTGCTGGTCTGTAACATGTTTCTTTGTTCTAAAATCGAAGATTCCACTTCATTGTTTTGTTGAACAGATATGTGCATGTATACATATGAGTGCGCGCGTGCTTGTGTATAAAGAAACTAATGAAGTTTTCTGTTAATAGGTGCGAGAAGATGTACTAAATTCATTGAATAACAACTTTCTTCAAACACTAAATCAAGCTTGGAACGATCATCAGACAGCTATGGTGATGATTAGAGACATACTAATGTATATGGTAAGTAGAGCTTTGTTGTTTTTCCTTTAAGTTAAGCATTTCAAAACACTGTCTTTTTTCTGTCACATTTATTTGGATGGTACAACTCAATGTGGAAAGCTTTTTTTCTTTTCTTTTTTTTTTAAATACTATTTCCTTCATAAGGGCCAACCTTAGCTTATATGAGTAAAATCTTAGTTGCTCCTATACTTAATGATTAGAATGGAAAACTGAAAGGGAAAGATTTAATATTTTTCTAAATATCTAGCACTTATGCTTCAATATGTGAAATACTGAAAAGTCTGTCTCTTCTTGAGTAAGGGTGATTGAGTGACAACATGAGAGATGAAATATTCATTCTCTTGCAAGTTTTTAAACCCTAATGTCCTTATATCCTCAGTTACAGGGGATGTCATATTAATACAAATATTTTTGTAATAGCTGCCATCTACCACTCCTAATAATAAATCTCTTCCAGTCTTACAAGGACTGTAAGTCCTTGCAGTGTATATATAAATTCTTCAGATATGTATTGCCTTTTTCACCTAGTATTACTGTTTTATTATCATTCAAGAAAAATATCTTGTTCATTAAAACAATTTGGAAAACATGGACCTGAGGTAGGCTGTTTAATAGCTTTCAAGGAGATTAAACTCTCAGGTTTTTTTAACTTTAGAATGATTATTAAGATTCATCAAGCTTAATTATTGTGTCTGCAAAATCATCAAGCCCAGTAACTTACTTCATTGTTTATGTTTGAGAATTGGACGTAATGATTTTCTTCTAAGATTTTACTCTCTGCTTTTCGAATTTTTATTTTCAGTTTCTTTAGTTTTGATTATTAGTGTAATGGTGAGAGCATGTCCTGGTTTCTTTTACTTGGTAGAATAAAGCAGTGTTTGGAAAGAATTTCCAATGAGAGCAAACAGCTGTAAAGTTTTTTGTTCTGCTGAGTGAATTCAATCAGGCCTATTACCCCAGGTTTTATAGGGCTTAGTGGCAAGAGGGTCAAGGAGAAGCTACTTCATTTTTCAGGGTTTTGATAAAACGTTTAACAAGTTATTTAGCCTTTCTGAACCTCATTTTCCTCTTCAGGGTATAGATTCATTTTATGTTGACATTTTGAGGTAAATGTGATAGCATGTGAAAACATATAATGTCTGGGATTTAAATGTGAAATAAGTTAACTTACTGCTGTCCTCTTTAAGTTTTGGATTTGGTGAGTCTTTAAATTCCAACACAAACACTGAGATAGAAAATTACTTGTGATTTCATGGTCCATCACTCTGTTGATAAAAGGAGTATTTTAAAATTATTTATATACTTTTTATACCATGCTATTTTTTAAATTTCTGTTTTATTTCAGCACACACACATACCACTTTTTTTGTTGGTTGGGGGGCAAATGAAATCTCAGACCTTGAATCCTGGCTGTTATGTGACCATAGTCAAGGAACTAATTCTCATTCCTCAGCTTCCTCATTTATAAAATGAAAATAATATTGTGCTAATTGGGTAGAGTGGCCATGAGGCTTAAAGGAGCCTTTCATATGAAGCACCTGTATGGCCTGGACTGTAGTAATGTGCTCAGTAAAAATTAACTAGTATTAATATTTCCCATCATCTTTTCATCAAACCCAGCTGGTAGTACCACAACCCTAGATAAACCCAGCAACTTGCCTTTCCTGGGCTTCTGCTGGTAGAAACCCCACTTGGGAAACCTCACACAGGGTAGCTCAGTGCCACTATTTGTGGCATTTTCACAAACCTCTAGTCAGCCCTCCACACTGCTCAGTAGTCTCACTCTTTCTCTATTCGCTCATTCCACCACTTTGAAAGAGTTATTTCTCTTCAAACCTCCAGCTGTCCTGCTGGTCCCCTTACTCTTAATAAACAGTCTTGCCCTCTGCCTCTCAGAGAGAAGGAGAAAGCATCAGGTGGAAGCTGGGTTCATCTCTTGCCTCTGAATCCACAGGTTTCCCTATATTTTCTCCCCTTTCGTGTTTCTCTTTTTCCCTCCCATTTTAATGGAGGGCAGTGTTTCCTCACCTATCAAATGCCATTTCTTCACTTGTGCTAAGAATCTCATTTCTTCCTGCTTTGTCAAAAATCAGAATTATTTTCAGGTTCTGCCTTTTTACTGATCTTACTCATCAGCATTAGACACATTCAGGTCGCTGGCATCCTCAAAATAAAATCCCACTACATTTTCGGTTGGACCCCTGCACTGCTTCCCAGGGTCTCTCATTGCCATGCACAGCTAAATGTCTCATAGGAAATGTTGACACTTGCTATCTCTTTTTTCTCATCTTTTATTCATTTTGAATATGTTTTAGTCACGCTTCTATCTCAACTCTTCTATTCATTCTCGCTCTTACTAGGATCACCGCGCCTGCGCATCTCTGACAGCAAAGCTCACTGCTAATCCTCATGCTCCTTGACTCTTCCAGCAGCATTGGCACAGTTGACTACCTTTTCGTCTTCTAACACGTTGGGTTCTTAATTTCTGTGACCAAACACTCCCTTGGTGTGCCTCCTGCCTTTCTGTTTCTTCTCAGTCACTCTTCCTTCTCTGCCCTTTAAAAGAGAGGCATTCTTGGGGCTTAGTCCTAGGCTTCCTTCTCCTGGTACCTGTTATTTGCTTACCTTAGCTCTCTGTTGTGCCTCTGTTCAGGTGATTCCCACATTATGTCTCCAGCCTCATTCTCTGAACTTCAGACTCGTAAATTCATTTATCTAGTTGGTGGCTCCCTTCATTGTCTGAGAGGTACTTCAAACTTCGCGTTTCCAAATGAGCTCATAATCAGTGTCATTCCATCTGATCGTGACAGAAACCTGGGAATTATTCTTGTTAGTTTCTTCTCCCTCTCTCCCTACATCATGTATTTCTAGAACCTGAAATTTCTCTGTTTTCATATCTAGTACCTAAGACCAAAGCACCTTCATTGCTTAGTAACTAGTCATATAGCATTCACTATGCTCCCCTCTATTCTCTTCTTCATATTGCTCTAGAATTATTACTTTAAAGCACATGATTATGTTACTGCCCTGCTGAAGTCCTTCTCTCTCATCTCGGGATTTTCACACGTCTTCTGTCTGGATATGTTTCCAGAATGTTTCCTCCCTTTATGTGATTTTTTTTCATACTTATCCTTCAAGTCTTAGCTTAAATTTCTGGTAGGCTTTCCCTGACTCATGCTGTGCACTGCACACTGGCACCAGCTGCTCTCACTGTACTCGGTACTCCTTTTGTAGCATTTATCATTATTAACAACTGTTTAGTGCCTCGTTTCCTCACTAGACTGAACTTCATTGGGGGGGATGTCTGTGTCACCACTGTGTCTCCAACACCTAGCACAACTCCCTGCACAAACAAGGCACTCACATACATCTTTGAATTAATATACACATTTTTTTAAATATATCATGCTTTTTTCAAAATGCTTATTAAAATATGCAATTATAGATGCAGAAAGAAATTTAAGTGTTGATAAGGTTCTATAAGGTTCATGTTCTATAAGGTAGACTTCTTTCATCCTTCATTCTCTTTATTTTTCCTTTTTATGTGTAGTATTCTGGGCTTAGTTAAATAAGTGCTTTTAAAAATTAAGGTAAAATTTATATACATTGAAACGTGCAAAACTGAAGTATATAAAGTTATTTTTGACACATGTATGCTCCTTTGTAACCAGTACTTCAGTCAAGATAAATAAATGATCTTTTCCAAAGATCAAAAAAAAATTTTCTGTTGACATCTATGTTATTTTCTGTGAAGATTTTTACCCTCAGTCAAACTTATCAGATCACTTTACCTGCTAGATAAGACATACACCTGAGGTGTGCAGGTTTCTAGACAGATTTCTCTTTACTATGAATTCTGGCTCTAACTGTTAGGACTTTAGATCTCAGGCTCAGAGGGAGGAGAGAAGATGCTACACTGTCTTCCCACCTCCCTCCTACTCAGCTAGCTGACTTTTTCTCTGACAAGGAGGTGTCTGTATCTAAAATGCCCGGCGTGAGCCTCAGTGTATATAGATAGCATGGGACACACTGACTCTTGTAAGTGGAAATGGAATCAGTCACAGGTTACGTGGAGGCAGCCGTTGGTCACAATTTGTCCCCACTCACTTTGTTGTTGGCAGGTTCAGCGTTCCAGGAAGAAAAGTGTACATGTCTCTAGATGGAACATGTGATCTATACCCCTTTCTAACATTTGAGACTTGCATTATGTATTTTGCCCCTGAAGGCGCTGGAGTTTGTAATCTCTGCTTTGTTTATTTTTAATTCATTCTCTTCTTTAAGAAAAGTTAACATGTTAAACTTATAAGATTGGTTTGAGCCTACTTAGTATAAGTTTCCTTTTCAAATTTTTAATTGTTTAAAAGATTAATGATTGGGGAAAGATCTGATTATTTTATGGAGAAAATGTGTTATAGGTTATATAATCGCTTTAATTATCAAAATAATCCACAGGTATATTTATATTCAGTTCATTTCCCTCCCCCGCTTAAACTATAAAATGAATACAGTATCAAGGGAGAGTTAAATTTATGGATGGTATTCTGTAGGTTACTTTTGAGCAATTAGAATTAATGTCAAAAGATATAGGAAAGCATTTACTATTGTGATATGTAGGCTAATAGAAGGTTAATAGAGGAATTTTCTGCATAAAACTCTGGTTATTTTCAAAGATACTTTCATGTTTTTACTTGAATTTATCTATATTCCCAGTCATTTTCACAAATAACAAAGGTATAGTACTATTGCAGGTTATCCTTAAAGACTAGAGGCTATAAATTCAAAGTCCTGGGGTGGAGAGTTGACCCAGGAAAGAAGGGTCACTGCTTCTTTGAGCTATATGGGAAGTCATCAAGGATGGTGGGTGAAGAGGTGAAGTGGAATGTAGCAACAACTTTGTGAAGAGGAAAGAAGCTGAGGAACTCTTCTGATGCTCTTGGTCTCCTTAATAAAGTAGAAGGTGGGACCATCAGTTACGGGTGACAGAAGCATGTCAGGTGTTG